CGTAATATTTCAGTGTCAGCTGGGTTTTGTGATAATTAAGGAGGTTATGATTCAGTACTGATTATTACTGATTATTAGTGATTATTAAGAATCTGATGTTTAATGATATTTATAGTTTCTGAATATGTCCTCTGCTACTGTCAGAGGAAAAAACTGCTACTGCAATTTTTGTTAATATCCTCAAACATTTAGATTATGTGTGATGTGATTATTTCCCCATTCCTGCAGCCACCTAAATATCTATTGACAGAAACATGTCCCCACTTACCCTCTCTTTGTGAAGGATATTATGGGTATTAGTATTTTTCCTTTTGGGCAGTGGAGTTTATTTAATTATTACCTTAGGTCATGCTTACAACATGAATGATAGAGAATTTTCCTGCTATTTTATTAAAAGGCTCAAGAAGATCGAAGGTCCAGTCAGATACAAATTGAAAAAAAAATAGCTGATAGGCACCTAAAAAGGTTGCTTAAGATCAATAATGCAAAATAAATATTGACCTCTATCAGAAGGTGGATTCTTGAAGGCAGACTTGCCTTTTATTTGAACATTTCAGTGGCAACGCATCTGTAACCTTTTAGAAGACACTTCTCTACATTTTCCATAAAGCAGGAGAACATTGCGGCCTAGTGATTGTACCTGAATCAAAATTCTATGCTCATATTGATACCTTAACTGGAATGATACAGCTGGTTCCTGGTGCTGAGCATGTAAATTAGGCACTTGCAGTTCATACAGAGAATCAGTCTTCTGGAGTAGCTCAGAATTTCATGGCTGCCATGACAACCCCCGGGCTGTTCCACAGATCTATGGGCTCTGCTCAGAAACCTGGGCTTCTGCCAGAGGTATGACTCTGCTTTGTAAGCTGGAAAGGCAATCATGGTCTTGTGCTTCTGGAATTCGTAGTGTAGCTTTTCTGGTAAAGTTAAGGAGCTGTTTTGGTGTCCTGTCATGAGAAGTTGGCAGGAACTCAGATTTGAGGGAAAACACCAATTCATTGCTAATTTGACTCCACTGAGAACTTGAATACTTCATGCTAGTGCCTTTTATTACCTCTTTGCAGTGGTAAGCGATTTAAAAATAGTCTATGAAGAAGCAATGAAGATTGTTAAGTGTGTCCTTAGTACAAGATTTGTGCTAAATATTGCTGACGGAAATCCACAAATAAAATTTTTCTGTTGTGACTACTTCAACATATAATAAATAAAAAATGACTACTTGATTTTATCTTTAACTGTGTTGCAGTGCATTGTCTTAAAATATCTTCGTGAAAGACTTATGCTTTTGCTCAGTTACACCATTGATGTTGTATGCAGGTTCTTTTCTTACCCATAATAAAAATGATAGAATTGTGTTTTACTAAAAGGACACAGGAAAGCCTGCAAAAAACTTTGCTTTCTACGAATATGAGGTACTGAAGTATGTTGTTTATATTCTGTACATGGTAATGATCAGTGAGAACAGCCAGTTGCTGGAAGAGTTCAAGAGCAGAGATGTAAAGTGGTGCTCTCTCTGGAGTGTCCACTTGTAACAGATGTTCTGGAAAATGAATGTACTGCATCAGCACTGCCCATTTAAGGGCCTCTACGGAGTATCCATGTATGAGGGCTGCTCCAAAAGTCATGCCTCCTATTTTATTCTGCAGATTTGAGCATATTTTCATGTGCACAGCACGCAGGCTCTTGTTCATCACTGCCAGAATGCATAGCTAATGGTGGTGGAAGGTGACAAAGATGATCAAAGGACTGGGAGCACCTCTCTTATGAAGCAAGATTGAAGGAGCTGGGCTTGTTCAGCCTGGAGAAGACTCTGGGAAGACCTCATTGCAGCCTTCCTAAAAAAGGAGCTTATAAACAGTAAGGAGACCATTATGTACACAGTCTGATAGTGATAGGCTAAAGGGGAATGGTTTTAGTTAAAAGAGGGGAGATACAGGTTAGATGTTAGGAGGGAGTTCTTTACTTGGAGGGTGGTGAGGCACTGTCACAGGCTGCCCAGAGAAGCTGTGGATTCTCCATTCCTGGAAGCATTTAGGGTTGGGTTGGATGGGCCCTGAGCACCCTACACAGTGGGTGGCAACAAGCCCACTGCAGGGGCTACATGAGCTGTAAGGTCCCTTCCAACTCCAGCCTTTTTGTAATTTATCGGCATAGTTACCTGCTTTTCAATCAGAAGGCTCCTACCCTATGTATTCTTTTTTTGTGTGGAAGTTATTTCAAGTCTGTAGTCATTCTACTATGGTGCTTTTCTGTTCTGCCATAGCCTGTTCACTGTGACATTTGAAAGGAAGAGAACTGTAATTTGTAAGGAAAAAATTAGAAAGGTTTTTTTGTTTGTTTGTTTGTTTGTTTGTTTAATTTTTTTTTTTCCTAACGTGAAGATAGTAAAGCAGTGGAACAGGATGTCCAGAGGACTTGTGTAGTCTCCATCATTGGAGGCTTCCAAGACAACTGGATAAAGCCCAGAGCAACTTCACCTCATAGCTGACTCTTTTTTGACTGGTCTAGAGGTTGCTGTTGTCTCTTCCAATATGGATTTTCTTATCCTTCTGAGAGACTTTAACTACCCTGACATCTACTGGATCTGTTGCTCACCAGCACAAGTGAACTGATTGGTGATATTAGGACTAGAGGCTGCCTGAGCTGCAGTGATCTGACAATGGTGGAGTTCACATTCCTGGGGAATATGGGATAGATGAAGAGTGCAATCAGGACGCTAAATTTTAGGAAAGCCAACTTCCAGCTCTTCAGGGAATTAGTCAACAAAACTCCCTGAGAAGCTGCCTTCAAGGACAAGGGGGTGGAGTAGAACTGGCAAAGGAAATCATTTGAAACTAAAAGAGGGGAGATTTAGACTGCATGTAAAGAAGATGTCTTTTACAGTAAGGGCGGAGAGGCACTGGAACAGATTATCCAGGGAGGTGGTGGATGTCCCATCCCTGGAAACATTCAGGGTCAGCTGGACAGAGCTGTGAGCAGCCTGCTCTAGCTTTAGTTGTCGCTGTTCATTGCAGGGAAGTTAGACCAGATGACCTTTAAAGGTTCCTTCCAATTCATATGATTCTATAAATTATCTTGTGTTCCAATGATCAGACGAATATGCAGTATGTGAGAATTCTGCAAGTGAGGACTAAATGCACTGTCAAACTGATACTTTCTTTTCTGTTCTCCATTCTTCTCTTAGTCCTGTGTGCGTCTTTTTGACAACTGCTGAGCATTTAGCTGTTTTCAGGAGCTGTCTGCAGTGCTCAAAAACCTTTTCACTAAGTGGGTAACAGTCCATCATTATGCACATACAGTTAGCAGCTGTAGCAAGAGCAGAGCAGAAGGAGCATCAAAAAGTGGTATTGAGAAGTGTGGTTTTGGCAACATCTTCACATTCTCTCTATTCTGAGTTACTTCCCTGAACTGGGAGAAAAGCAGGTAGCAAGGAGGAAATAGCTTTTGGGTTGCCTTGGGTTGCCTTGTTCTGGGGCTGCTACTGTTTGGCTGAAAGTGAGAGCTGTCCATTGTGAGGGCAAAGGGTTGCATTTTGTGTCAGTAGGGCGTCCCAATAGGCGCCTACAAGCTGTAACAGCTGCAACTTGAGCAGATCAGTCTGAAACTGTCACTGATACTTACTCAGAGATTGTTTCTGTAAAGCTTGCAAGGAGTGTTCCTGGTCTGAAAACCAGAAGGTCTGAGCAGCTTTCTGCTATAACTTGAGAGTGGTACTCTTGTCTCTTTGGGGTGGTAAAGTCTGCTTGAAAACAGTATTTATCCTGTTGGTTGAAAGTGTGGTATGAAATATTTCCCCATGCATTTAAGGATGGCATTAGTTTTTAAAAAATATATATTGTAGCTTACAGCTCAGATAGAAAAGTCTTGATGTACATTTAATTATCAAAAGTTGTCCAGAAATTCATGTTGTTTCTTTACCTTAATGTTTGTCTGCACCATTTTTCTGAAATTAGAATGATTTTGTTTTTTGAAATTAGAGAAGACAGGTGGATGTGCCAGTCTCTTTTGAGCACAAATACAAGCAGCACGCTCTTTTGCTGCAGCTCACACATATAGCCCATTTTTGAGCACTAAATATTAGTATCTGATGCATTTTGTTCAGTGTATGGGAACTGCTGAGTCCTGAACCTTTGATTGATCACCTGAGGCGAGCCATGAGTCAGCCACAGGAGCACAGCTGAAGGCAATTCACCTGTGCTGCAGGAAGGGGTGGAGCCTGGCTGCACCTCTCCTAGACCTATTTAAGAGCTGGCTACCAGTGGGGAAGGATCTCTTCTGGAGATTGCCTCTGCTGGTGTTCTGTGGGTGAGCCCAGCATAAGGGTAAGCCTTGCATTTAGTCTCTTCTGTTATCATAGTCTTCATTGCCTAACTCTCTTGTTTATGTTGAGATTATAATATCTTAATATCCATTGATTATGCATTCAGTTTAAACCAGATGCCAAGAGCTTTAACAAAGAGAGGGGTTATAACTATGCTACGATATGGGTCTTATTGCATAGGAAAAGGTGGAAGAAACTGCTTTAAGTGTATCACATAATGTGTGTATGAGATCTAGCAAGTCTGGATTAATTTTTCTTAAACATTCTTTTCTGGGCAAAAGCTAGACTAACTCTATAATTACTTACATTTCAGTCTTTCAGGTTATAATTTTTAAGCTTAATCAAATCTGTATTGGTTATACTAGTTACTTTGCTTATCTTACCACAGAATGAAGGTGAAAAATATGTTCTGATTCTTTTCACGTTTATCAGAAATTCTAATAAGTTTGATGAGGAGTTTGTTTTGATGTAATAGATGTTGCTGTTATGCACAGTCTCCTTAGAAAGCATTTCTCCTTCCTGTGAGATGATCCATGGATTACAAGCAGTGGCTTTTCTGCCTCATAGATCACCTTCTTCTTAACCACAGATGGATTGTGCCTGCTATTTACCATATGAGACCACCCACAATGAAAAAAAATGGATTTTTGCTTATATTTTTAAGGTATCTGCAGTGGAATTGCCAGGTCACAGCCTGAACCAATGGTTGAGCATGAGGTGAGAAAGTGTGGCTGACCCAGGGAGCTCAGGTGCAAGCAGTGCACCAGAGTAACCAGAAGGGGTTGAGCCTGGAGCCGCTTCTCATCTTCAATAAGGGTTAGCAGCTGAGGGAGTAGCATCTTTGTGGATAGAGACTGCACTTCTCTTGGGCCAGTTGTTTGGAAGGGGTGAAGTAATTTTCCTTCTTAATTACCTGTTATTGCTCAGTAATGCCTGTATCCTATTTGAAGATACTGCTATCATTTTTTTTGCCATACTGTACCCAATTAAAACCAACCTTGTGATGTGCCTAAGGCATCCCCATACATCTCTAAGGAGAGTTAGGTACTGCTTGAGACCTCCAGAGGGAGACCCTGCCCACTTAATTTTTAAAGTTTATCAGACAAGATCTTTTAGAAGCCTTCAGCATCACCTTAACTCTCTTTGTAGTCTCTGTAACAAAAATCCTTTTGGAAGGAGTGGCCTATTAGATGTCTAAAAGTAGGTCTTGAAGAAGAAAACATTGGCTGGTGGTCATTTTATGTACTGCTTGAGAGCCTTGTGTTGGTCACCTGGATGTGTTACCAGCCAGCAAATGAAAAAAGACTTCTTCAATGCATATCACCCAAGCTGAGAAATCAGAGGACTTATTACTGTGCTTTCAGCGATTTCAATGGCAGTTATTGCATTTTTCCTCATTTTGAAAAAATGCCACTGGTTATGTTTTCACTAATAGCTGTTGCATCATCAGATTATACTGAAATCTGGCTTTAACAGCAAAAAAAAATTGGAAGCTCCTTTGAAATACTATTTATAATAAAGGTAGTGAAACAAAGAGTACAAGCAGCAGGTAAACTAGATTTGGGAGATAATTAGCAGTTTAGGGCACCCTTCTTTAGTTTGTATAGATCTTTAAAACTAATCTCCAACTGGCAGGCTTTGGCTGCTGTGGCTACTCACAAATACAACCCCGAAGTTTACAGTTTCTCCCAAAAACCTCCTGCTTCCCTTCACATGATATAAAGATGTTTGTCAAATATCTTCTGTTTTATAATTATTATTTTTTCTTCTTTCTCCTGGGGCTGCTGAAATTGTCTGTGCTTTAGACCCTGGAGCCAAATAAGGGGAAATAGTTGGGAAGATACCATATTCTGTGGGAAGCAGGGGTGAGGATGCATGAGGCTGGAGAGGAAAAGGCAGGGGGGGAGGGTGAAGGGTTCGTATTCTTGACCTTAGGTGGCTGGTACTGAGAGGTAGTGTATTGTGTTGAAGCACAGACAGAACTAGAGTTTGTGGCTGGGAAGGAGGGCGGAGGGAGGAGGAAGCTGGGACAGCGAGGGGGGAGGAGGAGAGAGCAGCATCTCTATCTTTCTTTGCAGACCACGCTGCTAAACAGCCAGGGGAGGCTCATGCTTCCCTAATATCCATCACTCTCTGCTTCCAGCGTGGTCACAGACAGAGCAACAAAGAGGGTCTCAGAGGTAAGATACTTAAAACTTGCAAAACTATAGCATCTGCCAAAAGGAGGAAAAGATTTGGCAACAATGGGGGAAAAAAAAAATTATAGATTATCAGCACCTGGGAATGCTGAGAAGGGGCGGGAGGGTAGCTGGAAACTCAGGTCCTCAGCAGGCTGAGGAAGTGTGAGCAGTAGCAGCAGCAAGAACAGAGTAAGGGGGGGGGGGGGGGGCACAGATGGGATTTGAGGGGATCAGAATAGCAGCTAGTCGTACTCAGCAGCAAGCAGTTTGTGTCCCAACTGTCTGTGTGGGAAGAGTAGAAAAATGGTAGAAAAGCTATGTGGGTGAATGCTCCAGTACCTGAAATATAGGGCTGAATAAAGCTTAACAAAATATATGAATGGATAATTTATTTACTGAATGTGTACTTCTGGAGTGAACTAAACACTTCATTAATTTATGCATGCAAAAAAATGTAAATGAAATGCAAAGCTGAAGTCTAATATTGATTGAATTCTGTGGAAGTTGCAGTTTAGGGCTGTATTTCATTTCGGAAATGAATTCAGTAGCAAAAAGGTGAAACAAAGAAACCAAATGAAGCTTTTTTAATCGACTCAAATGGAATATGCTGTTTGACAATTATTGTAACAAAATACTTATGATATATGCAGTTTGAGCTGAGAAATTCTTTTCCATTTCATCTAGAAAAAAAAACACACACAGAAACATTCTTTTTACTGGCCTGAAATAAAATTCATAATTGTTTGATTTGCCCACTGAGCCTAAAAATCAGTTTGAATAGGCTTAGAAAGTGAATAGTCTTTCAGTTTCTGATTCTACAAGTTTAGATGAAAGAGATGGAAATTATAGCATCTCTACATTGGAGAAAATGTTGCTTGCTTTTTCTCTTGTGTTTTGTTTCATTTACTTTATTTTTTGAGGTATTGTCTTGGTTTTGATCTAATGCTTTATAGACCTTTCTAAAAAAGATAACTAGTAATGGTAATAATGTCAATTTCGTTAAATATATTGAGACAACTACAAAAAAATTTAAGTCTTTTATATCTTATGACAAAGATCCTGAAGGATTTAAAGTCTTTTTTTTTTTTTCCCCCACTTTGGAACACTGAGATCAGTCTCCAGAGGTGAACATTCTGGAATATTTGTGCCTAATTGCAAGTTTCTGTTTGTTCATCTTCATGCTGAGCAGCTAAAATAGCTGTAGTGAGTAGATTTGTTGTGTGAGGGAGGAAGTTAGAGCCACCACTGTCTGCTGCCTTGGGGAGCTTGGTGATTATGGACCTGATTGGGATTTGCTTATTCATCAGAGTAAATTTTCTGCTATATGTTTACATGGGTTCAGTGTTGAGTTCCGTACTTCATTATCATCCCATTTTTTCTAATAAAAAAGAGCTACATAGTTCACATCAATAGGGCTTTTCTTTCACCGCTTTTACAACGCTGTTAATTGCTGTTTCAAGACTTGCATTTATATTACTACTTTTAAACAATAAATAGCTGTCTGAGCTTGGCCTTTATGTGGTGACATAACCCTTTGAAACTTTTTTGTCTTTGCTGATGTGTGTACATTCAAGAATACTTTTTTTTTTTAGTTTAGGGTTTGGGGTTTATTTGGTGTTGGACTACTGTTGATTTTCTGTGGCTTCTACTAAGGAAATGGAGTGTTCTCACTTTAGAAAGGTTTATTTGTGGTATGCACACAGACAACAGTAGCAAAACATCTAACAGTAAGAACCCAACAAATCTACCACAGCAGGTAAGTTTTGTTTGAAGCAAATGTTCTTTTCCTCTCAGATAGTGGATATTGTTCTCTTAAAACAACCTCCTATGAATTGTATTGTTCTTGAAGTTTATAGGGGCTGGAAGCAAAGCTCCCTGAAGTCAGGAGGAGACATTCCAGTGACTTCAAATGGCTTTGGATCAGGCCTGTCACGTGAGATTAGCTCCTGACAGAGGATGCTATGAGCACAGGAGCAGAACAGAACGATTTAGGGATGGAATTTCACTTATGCCCTAATCATCTTTGCTTTGTGAATCTGTTAGACACAATCTTTTGAAGCAATATTACATTGATTTTTGTATTAAAAATGTCTGTATTGCTTTTTGTGTTGTGAATATATGGTTTTACAGAAATAGCCTTCTAACTTAGGTTTTACAACTACGGTCTATTTATGTTTCTATTTCTTGGCTTCTGTTAAAGGATTCTTTTTGGATATGAGCGTTCAGAATCTCTTAGGCGAGTTTTTAATCTTAATAATGCTGTGAATGATATACACAAAGTTAAGGAAAGTATTTTCTAGTGTCAAACAGCAAGTTAAAAACAACTGTTTGAATTCTGCTTTTCTTGTTCATGTGTTCTGTACAAGAAGCTAATGGCTTCCAAAGTTTCTCTTTTAAAAATAAAATAAAATAAATCACCTATTCACTCCCACGAAAAAAGCAGAGGAGATTGCTCCATAATTTGTGAAAAATTGTAGTCAGTTCAACATGTGCATTTGATTTGCATTTTGAAATTCATGTATCTTACACATATTGAAAGTAACCATGAGAAAGCCCATGCAGTTTTGTAGAACTAATAAAAATGGAAGCATTTTACAGCACTTCTTTGGTAAGGCCAAATTTGACTAGGAAGTTGTAAACTTTCAAAGGCGATTTGTGTTCATAAATGAAAGCCTATCAGACTCGTAAACACTCTAGTGATGCTGGACATCATTATCTTCAGGGAAAAATTGCCTTTGGTTCTTATTGATTGTGGCTTTTCTAATGAATACCAAGTCTGTGTGGTGAATGATAAGTGATGTGTCTGTCACTCCTTCCTCACCCTCATACAAAATAAGGCATTTACTCTCAGCTGGGATCAGGCACAACCTTGGGTTTGTTTTGTGTGGATAAAAGGCACCACAAAGGGGAAACAAGGTGGCTGGTGTAACTATCAGCCACCACCATGTGCATGCAAACATCCCTACTTACACAGACATGATTGCATCCGTATATTACACACATACACAGGGTAAGCACCACATCTTTTACTTGAACTGAAAAAACTTTGCCTTTTTGCATTTAGACTGTGATTAGTTATTCAGTCATCTGCAAGTCTAACTCATCCAAACTTCTCTTAGACTCTGGAAGAGGCTGTTCTTATTTGTGAATTAGATTTAAATATGTCATTTATGCTTATGTTGCATAGGTTTGTAGCATAGTTACATGTAAGGATTGCAAAGACTTGATTTTTCAGTTTGCTTTAACTTGCCTTTATCCATCTGTTGCCTTTCATGCTTAAATATTTACATGAGGAATAAAGGAAATCTTAGCTCTATACAGCCAGTGGTATATTTCTGAGGAAACAGAAAAGGAGAATTGCTGTTTATGCGTGGTATAGCTTAGAAAAAATGCTGTAAGACAAATATTGAATGTCATATGAAGAAAACATTTTTTTTTTCCTAGCTAAACAGCATAACAGTGCTTAATGTAGTAAAATCTGTAATGTTGGAGGCATATCTTGAGTAAATTTGCCTTAAATAGAAATGATGAAGTGTATTTACACTGCAGTCATAAAAAAAAAAAATAAACAGTACCGACAAGGAATTATCATCAAAGACATTTTTATAGGTTTGGGAATTCACCCTGATGCTTTGCTTATTGTTTTCTTTTTTTTTTTTTTTTTTTGGTATTAATCCTTTCTGTATTGCTGTGTGTGACTGCCTGCCAAATGTGTCCTTATATACGTAGCTGTCTTCATTTTGAGTTTTATGGTAGGAAAATGTGGATCTATGTCTTCTGCTGTTTGTGAATAGGAAAAAATGCATAGGATTTTATTTCCACCACTTTCTTATCTGTTTTTTTAATGAGATTAAACATTTATTTAAAATCAAGGCAATGAACTGTTCCTATCGTGTGATGTTTTAGTGTCATTATATAGTGCTTTGAATTCAGTAGTTTCCAAGAATTATATCAAAACTGTTATTGCTGTCTTATTGTGCAGGTAATTATCTGTGGAATAAATGTATCAGCTCCAAAAGGGTTCAAATGCTTTTAAAGACAGGTTTAAATCAAAGTTTTTTCTTCTATCAATTGAAAGTGTTGTATGGTCTTTATCTGATTTGGAGCCACATTTGCGTGTTTTCAAAATCTGTGTGTTGCCAATTTCTCTATGAATGAAAGATTAATTAGCAAAGCAATACCTCCCAAAGCGATCGAACAGGGCAGAGAGAACAGTGGATAAGACCTTTGATATCACTGCTGTGATAATTCAAAGTCTTACTTGTAATAATAGTGAAAATATTTTTGGACACAAGAATGTTTGTGAAGTTAATGAAAAGTTCTAAAGATTATTTCATCCTCATCTGACAGCTGTTTTCATTATTTTCACCCCAGAGGTAATGAAATGGCTAATTTATTATGTAAGTGTGTTTGTTTTCAAAGAAAACACTTGTGACTTGCTTGACTGCAATGTGACTCTGCTTAAGTGAGTGAGCCAAATCTCAGTGTTCTCCCATAGATGGAACTGTAAGTGATTTGTGCCTTAATTATTCAGAGCACATGCATGAGTATGCACGTGGGCATAAGCACAGATGTAAGTATATAAATCAGGCTCAGTCCTTCCAACCATCCATGAAAAAGTCACTTGTGACTCCCTTTTGAGGAGGAAATGCATCTCGTCACCTGTCAGTTCAGACTACTTCAATAAGTAGTTTTCAGTTTTATCATTGTATTCAGTTTCAAATCTATCAACAGATATTTACTGTACCCTTCACTGATTCCCCCTTTGTTCTCCCAGTCTTCCACGTTTTTTTCGGTCATTTCAGCTTTTGTGCATAGAAGAGCAAGGTGTTCAAATTGATGATAATTATGTCTGCGCTGCTTGGAAGGTCCGGAAAAGATCACTAAGATCATCTAAACCAACCATGAAACAAAATAACATTAAACAGAAAAGAGATAAACCAAGCACTTAGAATGAGGCATTTGACACGACATCCAGCTCTTCTGCTGTGAGGGTGGCTGAGCAAAAATTGACATATTGTACACATTTTATATTGAGAAGAGCTCACAGGGACCAGCAAAATATCCCTTGAATTCTGTGAAGCAAATCTGTGTGCTGAATCAGAGAGATGGTGTTTGGTAACCACTGGTCTTCCACCAGTACTGCAATCTATTCTCCAGGGGCAAGTAGGCCCCTGCAATGTGGAATTAAGTTGTGGCTCCACAAGGAGTACTGGCTGTAGTCATAATGCTGTCGCTGTAATATTGTGCTTCTACTGTCTCACACAATCTGAGTTGATTAGAATGTGCTGAGTTGATTAGAATGTGTTGTGTTTCTAAAACATTATTTCAAAAGTTATTTTTATGAATGAGTTGAAAATTAATTTTTAAGTATGACTGTCTAGATTGAAAAAATAAAATGGAAATATCCAGATTGCAAGGTAGTAAAATCAATCTCCTTATGTTAGGCATGAGTCATAAGATCTGATTGGCTGATCTGCCACAGTTACCCATGACTACAGCCTTCAGTCTGTGAGGCTTCAATACAGAAAGCAATGTTACTTTGCACCAAGACCACAGTCAACCAAGTGCCAATTGGATGACACAATTACTTTTTACTTTCTTAATCCTACACAGTTTTCTAATAATCTTTCAGAAGACCTGGTATCCTCTGGGTAATACATCATCCTGGTTCACGTATCACATCTTCCAGTTCTATGCCAAAAAAAATCTCTCTCAGCTGGAAACTGCACTATAGATTTTGTAATAATTAAATTGAGTGGGTAAAGAGCTTATACAAATATGCTAAGGCCAAGGATACTTAACTAAGACACTTTGGCTGTGCATCAAGTGATGTGGACGTGGTCCTTTTGGTCTAGGATGGACTAGAACTGAGCAGTGTAGACACAAGAGGTTCTGCATCCATGGACTTTAAGGACAGGTATCTCTTCTGTCCCAGGTGCTTGCATCGGTATGGGTGTAAAGAGGCTGATCTGGATGTGAAGTAATGCTGTGTAGGATGGCAGCAAGAAAGCATGGCATTATGGGTCACACTATTCTCATTTCAAATTAGCTGTCCTGCTTCGCATACTTTTTCACAGCTAGATTACATTGATTTGCATCTCATTTGGTTTCTTTAGCAATGTTTTCAATTTCTAAGGAAAAATGGCCTTGAATTCAGGTAAAATGGATCACTCCAACACTTAGTAAGTCTTAAAGTTTCCGAGTGAAGTCTTAAACTACAGGTAAAAGTAGCCTGAGGGTTTATTTTTTGTTTTTATTTCTTATTTTTCACTGTGTGCTTCTGTTTATCAAAATGAAGTAAATTTTTCTCCTCAGGCATGCTTTTGAACATGTCTGGTTAGAAATTGGCTGTGTGTGTTGGGTTATGTGATAAAGGTCTGGCAACTCCTAACGAAGTTGACACAAAGGAAAAAGAATGATCTCTGTCAAATACTGGAATTGGATTATAGAATGTTTTCTACCTGCAACAGAATTCAGGATAACTGCAGCCATAGAATTTACCTACACTCAAAGCCACATATAAATACATTCACATGAACATCTGATGTGTTTTATCAAGGAGTTGTTCTCACGTCCTTTTCTGGCTGTAACTGTGCTGACTAAAAAGGTTACTGCTCCCAGTCCCTCATTTGGGCACTGCTGTCAGGGGTTATCACAGCTGGCTGCCAGCTGAGCTGCTCATACACGTGGTTCCTAATCTATTTCTCTTAAAATGAATGGAGATGATGGAGATCTATTATTTAACATTTAATTTATTATTTTTATTTTTTTTTTTACTAAAGAGGATCAAGTGTTGCTCACGGGAGCAACTGTGTGCCTGAAACAGGCAGGGCCATATATTCCATCAGACTAATAGAGACATCTATAGAAATTATTCCTTCAGTGGATGCTGGCAGAACTGGAACATTTATTCATGGCCTATGTGCATTGAATTTGCATCACTGCTTGTTTAGTCATTTCATATAGTGATATAGATATGGCCTTAGGCTGGTGTATGGATTGTTTATTGGGTGTAGTTTATTATTCATAGACAGGATTCAGTTAAAAGAAAATATAATATTTACAGACTTGTTCAGTAGAGCTTTTTTTTACCCTGATTTAAATATCGGATTTTACATTCATACAGGTTCTGCTTTGAGCACTCTATACTGATTCAGAATCCCCTGTTCCATCTGAAGACATGAAATTTATTTTTATAATAGCGATTATTTATTTAAAAATAACTGCAAAAACCCTCTGGTTTGGCTGAAAATCTACTAAACCCAGTAGGATAAATTCTAATGCCCTTTGTACCATCAGCATTTTGTCTGAGCACTGTGTGAATTCTAAAACTTGTGCTTTTTTCCCCCACTCTTCTATTTGCTGGTATTTGCCTTAATTTTTATGGTAATGATTTAATTTAAAGAAGAGAGTTTCTCAAAACTGCAAGATTCATGGTCATTCTAATTGTACACCATTCCTTTTGTGAGTTGTTGTGTTATTACAGACACCTAAATTTAAGTAAATAACCATTGATTAAGTAGATGATAACAGGTGATTTAAAATTGGTGTTAAATCAAGCATTGTAGATCCAAGTGTTTGCATGATAAGTTTTGGACTGTTTTATTATTAAAATGTTAAGAATGCAGAGGAATATGGGGAAAAAAAGCATATCAATGCCAGTTTGAAAAAAATAAAAAACAACTCCGTGCTTAACACTTTACCATTTGGTCATGTGTTTCATGAAAGTTAGTTTAGAATAATGTAAACTGTGAAATCTTTCAAATTTCTGACCTGTCTTTGTCCTCATTCACACAAATTGTACTTCATGGGAGGGCAACATTTTAGGAGTGTGTTACAAAGGTGATTGTCAAAGTACAGGGGAATAGAAGCACTAATATGTTTGAACTCAAGTTGTTATAGATATAGATGACAGAACTCCCAGGAATGGCACAGAGCTGGATCAGGGAAGGTTCAGACTAGACATTAGGAACTGCTTTACCGTGAGGGTTATCAAACACTGGGATAGGCTCCTTATAGATGTGGCTGATGCTCTGTACCTTTCAGTGTTCGAGTGGCACTTGGATAATGTCCTCAATAACATGCTTCAGCTTTTATTTAGCACTGAAGAGGTCAGGCAGTTGGAGAGGATGATATTTGTAGGTCTCTTGCAACTGAACTATTATTCCATTCCAATCATCAATAAGTTTGTCTTTTTAAAGATCTTAAACATGTGATTTCATATATATGTATATATATATATATCTAGAGTGGGATTTCAGCAGGACTTTCTGTAGATACATATATTAATTCATGTATGTAAGAAAGCACTTCAGAAAGGGGCAGAAGGATGCTTCTCTAGGAGTTTTCCTGGCTGATTGTGTAGAAAATATTGTTTGAGTGATGTAGGGAATGTATTGAGTTGTTAACCGTGTTAGGGGACTCCTACTGTTTTGGCTAGGCATACAGTGCTTCTATGGGAGCTTTTGTTCAATTTTAAGGGGGAAAATGTTTAAAAGTACCCATGATGATCTCAGATTATTTCTGTGGAAGACAATGGGAAAATGATCTTATTATCAATCAGTGTATAAGGAGGAAAAAATTAAAAACCATTAAAATTATATTTCTATGATTTAAACAAAAATACAGACATCAATATCAATCCTTAAAGCGTGCAAGCCATTTAAAATGTGTCCATTTGTTGAGTGAAGTCACATCAGCAAGCTCATGTATCTGTGTCTCAAACTGGACTTCTCTGTGACTATGTAGAAATACTGTATCTGTGCACGGTGAAGTGTCAAGAAGCTTTAGACAGAGTGGTTTGTAAAATAAAG